TTTATCCCTTTCTGCTAGCTCCGCTTTTTATTTATTTTAATCGTCGAATCCTTTTCGCATTGCGGATGGCGGATTCCTCTTCCTCTATGTTTATTTTTTCTTCTCTTCTTTCGTCCTTGCATCAGGCTACAACGCTATCTCCTAAAATTATATGTCGCGCGCGTAGCTAATTCCGATAAACTCGCGACTCCCTAAAGGGATTCTCATCCTCACCCCGCCGAAATTGCTGCGCAAAATGGTACACCCTTCATTTTCGCCCTCGGGCCGTTACAATTTGCACCTGAAATTCTCCTCCGTCGGCGATGCGTATAATTTTTCAACCCTTAATGTACATATTATTCAATTCATTAAGGGAATGGCTCCCTCGGTAACAGTAACATTACGGAGTAATTCATTAACCGACGCTTCGTCAACCGAACATCCGATTATCCGAAGAGTCATGCTGAATGCATGCATACTATTCCATCCGCAACTGCAGCAATACCAAAGCCTTAAGCCGTTAACACCAACGTTGCATTATTTTCTTCTTTCAGCAATTTTTATTTCACGCGGAATCGAAGCAAGTGAAATGCGCAACTCTGCGGATATTTTCAGCTGGAACTAATTTTCGAGCTTGCAGGTACTCACCGCCCTCCCACGCATTCGGTCTCCGCTGCCGCCGCCGCCGTCCCATGAATATTTTACGCGAATTACAATCTCCGCCAAAGTTCTACAATAGCAACCATCTTTTTCCACACAAATTACAACATATTACCCCAATATAAAACTACACTAGTTTCAGATGCCACACAATACTAATAATTATTAAAAACTGTACTTTTTCCTTCATTGCATCTATTTTATTTAAAATCTCATTAATTTTATCTTATTTTAATAAACTATGAATTACTGCTTAAAGAGCAATATAAATTGTACCTCGCTTAAGATTTTTTTTTTCAATTTAAAATCTGTTAAGTATAAATATATTTTGTTTATTTCGGGTAGTAACAATTTGGAATTGAAATCATCGACAATTTTGCAATCGTTGTAAAGTGGAAATCTATTAAATTGCAATTACAGTTGTATGGTATGTAGCATAAAATGCACGAGAAAATCATATGTTTGGATTCATACAGCATCAAACGCACAGGTTGGAGCGTAGCTGCTTCTGTGTAGGCGGAAACATCCCCTTTGACAGTTTACTACTGCGTGTCGATCCAGCGAGGCAAAAATTGCATTATCACATCCACCGTATGAAATAGGCCAATCCAAGTTTTATAGTTCACTAGGAATTTCATCAATAGAAAAATGCTCTTCTTTTCTTTTTTTTTTTCATTTTATGCAATATGAGTAGTAATAATTTGTAAGTGTCTGGAGGAAAATGTACAACTTAATTGCTTTTTAACTTTGCGCATTTTTGGGATTCCTTCGTTGGTGTGAAGCAAACAAAAATTGTTGTCTCCGGAGCGGACATTCCGGAATTGCTGTTACGCATTTCAGTTTAATGTACTTCCATGGAATTGATCTGGCGAAACGTCAGAGGAACGTGAAAATATAAATCAATCAGAGTTGTAATTGAATACTGACTGTAGATGTATACACGTGACAAATTGCACGTGGAATAAGAATATCGACGTTCAAGGATGATATCCTTTTTGGACTTGGGATAATTATTAATTTCGATGGAAGATTAAGTGGGTTTAGCGGAAATGAGAACAAATGTGTATTGATACGAATATTCGGATGGGGGTTGCAAAAGCTGGGGGGACGTCGATTGATTAATGAATGTGCAGCCGCAAATACCGCCCAAACAGCGCGTCCAATAAATATTGTATTAGTAAAGTTTCGCAGCAAGCGTCCTCCACCCCGCGCGCACAGACCACCATTTACATACAGAAGTAAGTTATAATTGAGGGCCAAATACGGACCTGACCGGCATGATCTAACAGGTCATTGGGGATTTAAGTTGGCAAATACAACCGCCCTTATCGATATTTTGTATCGGCGCGTATATTACCCTAACCATCCAAACGCGCCGCCACCCCCCAGACCCGAAACACCATTGTGCTGGTCATTGCCAAAAGGCGCTATCGCATGAAAATCATTAATGACCGCCGCCTGAATATTAGTCATTCATGAAAACCTCTAATTGTCTGAACGCATTTATCCATTCGTTATACTATTTGCTGAAACTAAAGTAATTCCACCAATCTTGATTAAATTTGCAATCATAAGACAAAATTGCATAAACCTTGCAAGTATAACAAATATATCTATTTAATAGTATTGACAAATTTATATTTCATTAATAGTTTCCAAACTTATGATACAATATCTTAGGACAAATCGGAATAATACATTAATAATCAATTGAAAGTGGATGTACACACTTAAAATTGATTTATATAATTTAGGTTAAAAGGGTGAAACAATGCATAATGGAAGTAATGCAATTGTACTCTTTGTCGCATTGGCTTTCTGTTTAAATTCACTTACACTTATTATTTTAGTCGCCACCAGCTGTTTCACACACGAGCGAGTGAAGTGACTCGATATCTAACCAACTTTTACTACCTGTAGCTTTCAAGAACGTTCTGGTATCGCATCTAACTTTGGTTAGCAGTTACAACTTCTTTCCCCTTTCAACTTTAGGACGTTCAACTTGCAGCAAAGATATCTAACATATATACGACCAGTCTACGCCACTGGAGTATCCGCAGAGGAAGATGTCAATCCAAATCAGATTCCAGTTCATCGACCTGCTTGCAGGATTTCTTTTTTTTTTCTGACCGCTCTCTCTCTATGACTGTACGTCCTCTCCCTATCCTTCTTGGCTACCGGCTAAGTCAGGTCTCGAGGGAAAAGGTATAAATTTCGGTTGGATTGCGATGCGTGACGGGCTCGAATTTCGAGGTGGACGCGTTCCATTTTCCTTTTCCCTTCAGTATGTTTGTATGTGTTTTTTTTTTACTTCCCTTTCGTCCGGGATTTGCGGAGAACGGCTTAAACGAGGTGCAAGTCGGGGTAATAGCTGAGTTATGAATGCAGTCGGTATTAACATCGAGTTTGACCGCTTGCAGATCCTATCTCGTCATAATAAACCGTCTGTCATGCGAAGTCGCGTGTCCTAACCATGACAACGTGAAATACACTCGACCTGCCTTCGTCTCCCTCCTTTTGCCACCCCCGATTGTCGCCGACACCGCAGTCCACCCGTGGACGCAACAATCCTATTATTGTTATTATTATTATTTGTACTCGTTGTGTGCGTTTTTTTTTTTTGCTCTCTTTCTCTTTCATTAATTAAACAAATGAAATATGTATATATGTGCATACATACATACATAAATAATTGTAATTTTATGGCGTTTGATATGCAAAGCGATTCCTAAACGGCGCGACAAATAAGAACTCCGGCAGAAACAGTTTCTCACCCTTTCGATTTATCACGGCGACTTGGAAATGCGCATTTTCCTTGGGAAAATGAATTAATTAGGGGTAAAATATGCGGCTTTGGGGGATTTCCCGTAGATTGCGTACCAATGGAATTGTATACTTCGGTATGTAATGTTATGGTGTAGAACGGAATGGAATGGAAAGGAAAGTAAAGGAAAAGCGGATTGCGATTAGGAGAAGATCGAAACAGAAACATCGGGATGGTGGTTGGTGGCTGAGGGTGTGCGGAATTCGGTGCGCAAGTTAGTTGTAACCGACGGTTAGTTAGAGCTAGTTAGAGAATTCGGTTAGCAGTCGATAATTAACCAATCGGAGCGTAATGAATATGTAAGCGAGCCGACGGACATGCGATATTTCTCGCCAATTACAGGTGTACCTGTAGTTTGGTCATGCAGTAAACATCGTCTATCCGGCAACAAATGTTGACCGAAAACTAAATGAGCATTGCCAACAAACGGCATCGGGCTCTTATATTTAGCGTGTGTTTATATGCTTTCTGTGTGTTTGTGTGTAATTGGGGGGAGGTTATCAAGTCACGCATGTTGGGATGGGGTGGTTTAAATATGCAGGAAATTTCTGTCGCTTTATTGATTAAAACTTAGTTTCTATAAAGGCTGTAGGCATATAATTTCTTTCGCGCAAACCGCCGACACTCGCGGCAGCCGCCACCGCCGCAACCGCCCCCATTTTGCATTTATAATAAAACATTTTATTAGCTTTGGAAAGTTATCAAGCCATAAAAACGGAATGAACTTTGCGCCCTTCTTTCCTCTTTATATATTTATTTTTTTTTATTTTTTAGGTTGGGGACGGCTTTGTTTACCTTTCATTTATAAATAAATAATACGACGTCGAAATATGATTTCGCCCTTTTTAATTTCTTTTTAATTTTACTCTTTGTTTACAATCCTTTGTTTTAGTTCTCCTTACGTACATATGCTCATACAATTCCTTGTCAATTCTCCAAAGTACAATTTGCTTATTCAGACTATTAATTATGTTTTATCAAATATTATTAACCGGTTGAAAAACTACAGTATATTATTTTCTACAAATAAAGAATTATTTATGAGAATCTTTTGATTAATTTACAAAATCATATTTATTCTGAACATCAGCTTTTTTCATACAAAATAAGATAATATTATAATTAATTTACTCTTACTGTTTTTATCTGGTTTATTAGCATACATATACTTCCTATTAGAGTATACGAGAGATATTCACGTGCGACTTTGCTTATCAGGCGTAGTGTGGGCGCACCATTATGGTAATACTTGGATTCTTGTTTGAAAGTATTATCTTCAAAAAATGTATTTAGTAGCTTCATCTTTGTGTTTATTTGTGAATCTAGCGTACGTTCCTATGAATGTTTTGTACGTTAGTACGAATGAAGTATTAAAAGAAAATGTAAATCTATTAATTTATTGTAATCCTTTTTTCTTAAAATGAAAATTAAGATTTTCACCTGCGATGGTAGCATATGCAAGAACATCCAGTTATTGCGCTTTTGCGGTGAGGTTCCTGTAAAGTGCAGTTGATTAATGTGCGGTGGTTGTTTACAGGACATGAAAGGTGGGTGGGCGACCTCGCCTGGGAGCAACGCGACCGCACCTACAGCAAATCCACCCCCAACGCTGCTCGCCGTGCAGCCTCTTCTGACGCAGACCAGTACACCGGTGCAGACCCTACAGCCCATGCCACCCATGCCGCCCATGCAACCGCCCCCAGCGCCGCCGAAGCAGGACACATCCAGTAAGTGCTTCAATTATTTATCTCCACTTCGCCGAAACCCCTCGTTGTTTCCCAATAAAACAATTAGAAAAAGGCCCCGCAGCAATTCGACCAACACACCGGTCCTTTTCCCACATGCAGAATCTATACATATAGATACACAAACACATTCAGATACAAATATATATATATATATACAGAAACTTGTCACACATGTATACTTGTCAGTGACTTATTTCATTACTCAATTCAAGTATAAACAATATTCCATTTATTGAGCTTAACTAACTTGAGATTGAGTAAAAAATTGATCTTTTATGATATTTGTTTAAAAAAAATGGTTATAAAATTGTATGTGTTTTCGTAAGTTCGATGGCTGAAGGAATATGAATATGTATATCTCTGGAGAACAAGAGAAGAATATATAGTTTCATTGGTTATTGTTTTATATGATTTGTTATTGGAGGAGACCGACGTCGGCATTCTATTTATGTAATTCAACGACACATGTTTCATTTTTATGTTGATCGTAAAGTGCGTTTTGCCATCTCGTCGGCCCATCAAATTGGGACATTCATGCCTGCGGATGTCGCTTCCTGCCGGTGAGACAGAAATAAAGAAAGATAGAGATAGAGAGAGAAAGATAGAGCAGGATGAGGATGGCAGGACGAGATGCAGGCGCGCCCTTCATTTAAATTTCAATGGAATATAAAAGTTCGCTGAATTCAATGAGCTATGCGCCTACAGTGTATCGCAATGAATTGCACATCCTCCTCCGGAACTCCCCAGGACGAAGGGAGACAATAAACGGTAAAACTTAGATTGCAACCCCGTTACTGCCGCATTCCAGTATTTTAATCGCGTGCGGTCTTATCCGATGTCGCGAATGTATTATGCATACATGCCGTTGCACCGCAGCCACCGCAACCTTGTTAGAGTTCCAATGGATGTCGTTTCGACGCATCAGCAGCGCGCCGCATATTTAGCAGATACGTGATATTATCCTGGATAAATATAGGGTACTTCACGGTTTACGGATATATCCTGAAGGGATGGCCTCTTCGTTACAAGCGTATAAAGAGTTGACGCGGTGGACACAGCATCTCCCCTCACTTCATCTCTCACTACTTCAACGACTATAAAGTTTATATCTGCATTTCAGTAACATTACTGTAATCCTTCCATTGTAGTATACAACTCTAAGTATCAATTACATTTAGCGAAATTAGGTTAAAGCTAGGTCCAGAATGTTACACTCATTTAGCCTATATAGAAACATAGTATTTACAAACAGATTTTCTACTAATTTCATTGGAATTGACTATCTAAAAGTTTACCCTCAAGTACATAACAGCATCAAAACCATAACATTATATTTAAAATTTCAGTTTAATTACAATTTGTTTAATACAAAATTCAGAATATTACATTTCTTATTATATTTATAAACATATTTTACTAGTCAGTTTTAGTATGACTAATTTCCTTGGTACGTTTCATAAGATTTCTTTGAAATGTTTTCATTTGCAGGCCGTTATGTATAATAGTATTGAGAACATACCAAGCTTAGTAGGTGATTGTTCGCATGGTATTAAAACTTAATTCACCGTTTTCAGTGCAAATACCCTGAAAGAATGCATATATATTATCAAGTAAGAATTTTCAGTTGAAACAGAGGAAGAAGGAAAGTTTATCTAGGAAATACAAAGAGAGCTTCTATGAATGCACCCGCAGCTAAGTTTTTTGATAACAGCGCTACGATTCATTCGTTTTAATTGGATATTATTACGTCAAGGTAAAATAATACAATCTGTTTATATAAAATTAAATATCAATCGAGAATTAATTTTCTTGCGAATTAATAGTTAGGAGTATTTAATTAATAAATTAATTAATTATACGAGGGCGCGCATTAAGTGCAATGAAAAGTTGTGGACGTTCAAAGGAATTCCATTTTATTTACTCTTTCCTTTTGTTTCTCTCTCATTTCTTTTGTAGTTATTTTTCGGCCATTCAATTCGGAACGTTCACGGTCAGAAACGTTTATTGTTATGCCCGTTCCTGATACACGTTTCCGTTTAATTAATCATCGTTGCGCTGTGGTTGTATACATCCAGAGGGATGCTGGGAAAGAGCAGGGGGTTGTTGGAATAAAAATAAATAAAAGGAAAATTGGGGTGGTTGGTTCGGATGGAGAAGTGGAGAGAAGAATGAATTTGGTTGCGGGCTATGGCCGAGGCACAATCGGGAGGTCCCGACCTTTGGCCGCAATTCCTACTGTCGTGTATAAATAAAGGAACACACAGGGGTGGCTTAGGCGTGGGGCGTGCGTATGTGTTTGGGGAGTTACAGGTATATTTCATTAATGTGGTCCGTTGGAGGCGAAGCCTGACTTGGGCCGTAATGCAGGAACTTGTACTTCATATTCCATACCTCGAGCTATGTACCTGTTATTCCTGCAAAACACATCACAGCGTGTGCTTATTTATTTGCAAGGACCTCTGCGGCTTTTCTGAATTGGACACTATTCTATCCTACGTCCATCTATCCCTGTTCGACGATCGAACACGTAATTGTGTCCCTTCGTCAGTTAGAATCAGATGAAGGGACGAAATCCCTGTAGTCCTTTATATTTTTTAAATGAGTTGCCTTATTTTAACAAATTATTTTATATACATCTATTCAGTTTGATAATGTTATTTTACATATACTAATTAAAATTTTCTAATTACATAAATTAATTATTAAACAAAACTCAAATCTATTAAGAAATTCCTTGAATTGTCAATATTTAAGATATTGAAATCGATCAGATTGTAAATAAATATTGGACGATTTTTAGAACAAAATTATTGCTTGCTTCAAGCGGAATTACTTCAAACCCTTCCATCTCTCTGCCGTTAACGCAATGACTCATTTCCGGTATTCCGAAAATATACTAAATTTATATACGTACAGCAATCCCGTTTCCGCGAAGCCCTGTATTTAAGAAAACCAATTTGTAGCGGTTCGATACAAAGTGATCGTCCCGGTGCTTTCTCGCAAGGCATTGTTAAGCTTTGCTCTAACCATCCCCCGAGCTAGCATCCCCCCATCCCCATCCCCATTCTCATCCCCCGAAAAACCGAATAGCACCGCAGTGCCGATAAATTCGAACGACACATTTAATTTGTTATTTAAAATCACCATTTCCGTTTGTCCCGTTTGCAACCGCATTTTGGACCGAGGATTCAATCATGCAGTTTGCACCAATCGCGTTGTCCGCTTCGCCTCATTTCCAATTCCTGGTTTTGGTTGCACCCAATAACCCATCTTCATTTACAACTGCAAAGAACATTTACAGATAATTCTAATCTTTACACAAAACAACAAAAATCTTTGGATTTGAGCTTGCTTTTGTATTTCTAGATTTAGTTGGAAAATTTTGCTCGTTAAACCATTCCTTGTAAAATAGTAATATATGCAGGACAATATCCTGATGGATATCGTCCATAGTTCTGCAAACAGCAGATCTAAGGATTACGTCGAGGGGTTGGCGGAGCTGGAGGAGCAAAAACAAAATGGTTCCGTGTGTGAATGTGTGCGTGTTAGAAAGGGATGGAAGATGGGAAAAAAATGTGGAGAGAAAGAGAGAGAAGGAGAGAGGGTGAGAGATATTCGAGGCAGGTCCTGCGGGACGTTTCACACTAATTATGGCCTCGTTACATGGATCGCATCTCGTGCTGCATGAAACGGACGCATTCGGCCGAAGCACATTTATAAATACATATTTTATTCATGCGAATGGTCAACAGACATCGTTCCCCCTGCAAAACTGCATTGTATCCCGAAAACCTTTTCAGCCTGAATTAAATATGCAAACTAGGGACTCTCGTAAAAACTTTTACTATGAATTTTAAACACTCAATAAACAACGCCCATTGACTCCGAATTACACCACGCCACGTGCTGAAACTTTATTTATTTCACTTATATATCATTCATTACTAATCGATGCAATACACAATGATTATCGACAATTTCAACTAAAATTATTTCAATAAATTTATTCTCACCAATTTTTNAAGTGGACACAAGCAAATACGTGATGCCAGAGCGTTATTGATTCGCAAATAATGCACGTAAAGTATATTTATTTCAATTTTCGTCTCACACTTCATCGATTTCCATCTATAAAAAAAAATTGGTATTGAAGAAAAATAAATTATTGTATTTACATTAATCTGCGCATCTTCTATTCAATGTAGGAAAGCGGATTTACTCTTCCATCCAAAAGGGAAACTTGGGACGGTGAACAATGGCAAAAGCGAAATGAAGCAGGAAACGCGATCGTTGTTTTTATTCGTACTCTTTGCCATTTCGCGCATTAAATGCCGCACTTGCCGTTGGCTTTAAAACAATGGAAGAAGCGAACACATGGAAAACTGCGGAAGGCAAACAATTAATTGCCACTGTTTCGCAGGACAAATAAGCGGATTGGCAGCATTTGCACATAGACCACTTCCGTCGTTATTTATAATTCAAATCGAAAAGCTTCGTGGAAGGGTCGGAGAGGGGTTGGTTGGTTGGTTTTTGAGGACAAACGTGTCCTTTGATTATGTTCGCGGCTGCGGAGGCGGCGACATTATTTATGCTCGTTCGCATTAAATAGGCATTACCGAAGAGTCATTTGGAGCGGGAGCCGTTAAGTGTTTTGTACTTCTTTTTTTTTTCTTCTTCTCCTCCGTCTGCCTGAAGCCTTTACTTGGGACTATAATGGGACTACTCTAATATGTTTTTCTTGCATTCATTCCGCTGATTGCGGGTCTGTCCCTTTGCATCATTGGGAACTTATCAACTGCGCTCAATTTAAATTTAAACGTTCAATTTACCATAAACTGTTTTATGTCAATATAGGTTTTAAGTGAAATATATACATGTCTATTTTGGAATTACAAACCCATGATTATATATTGATAGTATATAGCGTTAGCTGTTAAGAAATTATATAATTCAAATGCGAAATATTACTTTGCAACTAC